GATTTGATAACATGCTTCACAATTTTAAAGGAGCCGTACAGGTTACGCCTGTATCAAAACTTACAGGTTAAACGGCTTCAGAACTTACTATCTTCCTTTCGCATGCTCTTCTAACTTGAACTCTCTATTCCAACTAACTACCCCATTTCTTCAATATCTCACCTGCGCTGCCCCGGAAGCTAATTTGGCCGTGATGACCTTTCCTTTGACAGCAATGCAGTTTACACGATGGAATTGCCTTAGGTCCTCCGAATAGAAGTACTTGGTCGGTCGTGACGTATGCCGCCACCACTGATCATCACCAAGTATATCACCCATGCGAACACGCTCGCCATCAACAACAAAGCAGTAATTATCCTAAAAGTAGTGGTTTGTAAGTTGCATGACCGATAAAGTTTCCCTTTGCATATTGGCTCTCAAAGCTTTGCTTGTAAGATTTTCACCCACTTCCACCATTGTTGGAGGTATTGCTCCCGTAAGCATACTTGACGGAGCCGACATAAGGTTAGCCAAAGCTGCTTCTGTCTGCACGGTATCGTGATGGACAGAATGAACAGGAAGGTCCTGTAAAATTAAGTTTTGCTACCGCTGACTGTGAGATCGAATCTGACTTTGTGGAAGATGACAGGATCCTCTGTTGAAAGCAATGACTCAGCAGTCATGCCCGAATCAACAAGCTCAAAAGCTCCCAAGTCAAGGTCGTGATTGCCATCATTTTCGTCCTCGGAGGACGATTCCACTACGGCAGGGCTGAAAATGAATAACGTTAACTTCACTATCAGATATACGAGACATCACGAACACAATTTGAAACTCGCTGGTGACTACAAAGTAGATACCAATAGTCTTTTCCGCAAATTTGAAAGCGCTCAGAACTCTGCGCATCCATATTGTAAACGTAGCCTTTTGTAGGTATGTTTAGTTGATATGCAACCGTTTATGGTATCGCTCTCTATCCATAATATTAAGAGAGTGCGTCATATGAAACTATTGACAGTGCGGTTATGTGATAGATGCTCTCTATTGTCATGTTGCTCTTTGTATGCAATTTATGGGCAGATCGAAATGAAAAATAAGAAATGCGAAAAATTTAAATGCCTTGCAACTGCTCTTCTGTTTCTAGAACTTCTTTCTCATGCAGATATGACCATGATTAAAATAAGTTGTAGATAAAAGCAACTTTATAAGCTTTGCT